CAATGAACTGTTACAATTATACACTTATTTTCACATAGCTATGAGAAGCGTTAAACATGGACCCGCGTGCAGTTGCCGTACTGTATTAAAGCTTTAATCAGGAGTTCAGTCGAGCTCAAACTGATAAGCGATATTAATGACGCCTTTGTTTACAATATATTCAGGTTCAAGCCTAGAAAACAAACACTGAACCACCCCTTTAAAGTAGCCCAATTCCACGGGAAAACCGCGGACTTGGCAACACTGCAAGCCGTGTGCTCTGGCTACTCCTTGCTTTTAACTAAATAAAATGGCTGAACAGCCACTAGATGGCAGTGTTACTCAAACAATAACTTCAAAATAAAAGTCCCGATAGTCAAAGAAGGCAGAACAATTTTTGTGGAAACCTTTAAATAAAAATTTCAGGATTCTTTGATGAATGAAAAGTTCATAAGAACAGCACTAATATGAAATAGAAATTAAAAATGTCACTTGTGATCAGTTTAATGCATGCTTGCTGAATAAAAGTATTAAATTCTTTCAAAAAAGAAAAACAAATTCTACTGCCTCCAATTTTGAACGGTAGTGCAGTTGTCAATGTTTTGGCCAGTACTTAAAAAGTGAATGATGATGAAAAAGCTCAAGGGTTTAACCACATTAAAATTAAGAAATTAGGGCAAAAATATATGACTTTTATATTTTTCTACTATAATATTAGTAGGAAGACAAACATAAATAAATGCAAATGTAATTAGTGCAGATTCCCAAAAACAACAGTGGAAATTAAAAATAGATGGACATCACAACTAAATGGACCAACATGAGATTTGAGGCCACTTTTAAAGGGATAGTTCACTCAAAATGAAAACTCTGTCTTCATTTACTCAGCCTCATTGTGTTTCTAAATGTGTATAACTTTCTTTTTTCTGTTGGCGCAGTTGTGTAACTTACAGGACAACTTTTGTTATGTCGCGATCACAAGAAAATGAAGTCGAAAAAACAAGAGAGAAAAATATTAATAATCCATGGCCTCTTAGGACTTCCATAGTTCGGTTACCAACGTTCTTCAAAATATCTTTGAAGATGAAAGTTTATACAGGTTTGGAATGACATGAGGGTGAATAAATGATGACAGAGCTTTTAAGCTCCCTTTAAACAGTTCAAAGTGTAAAAACATTCAAAATGGTCTTTCCAGGTGCACATGCAGGGAGAACCTCTGGGAGATTTGGGAACTCTGATGATTGACTTTGAATGGCCATATGAGGTAGCCAATGGGAAATGGCTGCTGTATCTCACAGAGATAGTGATCAAAGGAGCATCAGAGTCGCGCTGTGTCCCACCGGGGAAGGTTGTCAACCCTCTCAAGCTCACAGTGAGTCTGAGGAAATACAGCCCACAGTAACTCATTTCCAATTTCATTCACTCCATTCAATTGTTGTCCTACATCGTCTCTTCCAGCTGTCAGATCGAGGTACCAAACGGTCTAAAAGAGGGGTGGAATCAGGATATCCCCAGGCAGAAGCTTCTGTCACTGTCCTGGCACCTCGTAAAGTGCCCCATTTTCTGGTGAGGCAGATGTTTGCTCTCTGAGGAATGATTTTCATGGTGTCCCAACAGTTTTTTCATCATCCGAATGGCTTTTGTCTCTGTTCAGGAGTGTTCAAAGTGGACGGCTCGCTGTGTGACCTTTTCCTGCCCGCTGCACAACATGTCGAGTCAGGCGGAGATCAGAGTCAGGTCACGCGTGTGGAACAGCACCTTGCTGGAGGTTTGTATTAGTAGCTGTTTGTGAAGTACTCACTAAATGGTGCTCACTAAATGGCTCTATGCATCTCTGTGGTTTTCTGGCAGGATTACGCCAATGCCCTGCGAGTGGAAGTGAAGGGCCAGGCCACGCTGAGACTGCTGACGGATAAACCGGCCATCAGAATGGACAACCAGACCAGAGAGGTCAGAGCTGTTCGCATTATAGTTCACCTAATAACGATTTATTTGCTCAACCTCATGATGCTTTATAGTTCATAATCTCCACAGACTGTCAAGCTCCAAAAATGAACTGTGAAAACGCCATTAAAGTAGTCTCTATGACTTTTATCGCACTGAATTGTAAGTCTAGTTCTGAAATATCTTGGAATTTAGTGCACAAGTCATATGGACTGGGGTTTAAAAGAAATATTATCACTTTGACTGCACTGACACTATCAAAAAAGAACAACACTTGAGCTGGATAATGATAATATTGTCTTCTGTAGAGCTGCTTCACAGCTGAATTTGAAGTTGTTTCATAATTGAAGAACTTTGCAATATCAACACTGCTGCTGAACTGAATTGAATCAATGTTGAACTAAATTGAGCTGAACAATGACATTATTGTCTTCTGTAGAGCTGCTGTGAAACAAATTTGTTTCAGAATTGATCAACATTGCAACATCAACACTGTTACTACTGAATCAACACTGGACAAAATTATGAGTAATTTCAGCTTTACAGCTGAAAATGAGTTTGTTTAATAACTGATGATTTTGCAACATTAATGGTTATTTTCCTGTTTATTACTGGGATCTGTTTTGTATAAAGTGCTATATAAATAAAAATGACTTGACTTCTGAAACAGTTTTGATCTTTATGTAAAATACAGTGCAAAATATAAGTCATTATCTACTATTTTATATTATTTGACTAATTTGTGTGCTAGACATGCAAGAGTCAATGATGTTTGATTCTATTAATGTTCAGCTGTGCCAATGGAACCTTTGATATGAGAGCTACTGAAAAAATGAAGATTTGTGGCAAATAATGACATGAATTGGTACACTGTCAAAAATAAACTGTGAATTTAACGGTAAAAGACTGTAAAAATGCTACAGTAAAAACCTGTTAAATGGTTAACGGTAAATTTCCCTACTATATACGGTGAAAATCTACATTGGACATTACATGTATTAATTTTACGGTAGTATACCGTTTTTGGAAGTGAAAAAGACTGTATAATTTACAGTGAATAACCGTAAATTTACATTCCCAGAATTTCCTGCATTACATTTCAAATTTGATGCTTTTTTTGTTGAAATAACTGTTTCTTCTTAGTTTTTTCTTATCAGTTTTGTATATTAGGGTTGTGTGTTACACCTAATGTTAAATTAATGTTTATTGCATTATTTCAGTTTCATGTGTGTCACCATGATGGTGTTTAGTGTTTGTGTGAATGACACTGTGCACCTTCTATATACGTATGTTATTATTTAAAAGCTGCTTGTGATGGGCTTTGGTTCATCATGTGACTTTCACATCACCACCTGCATTTGGTGGTTATCAGTGTATTACAAAGGTACAAAACAGATTTCAGTACTTCAATAGGTTGGTATATTAACATTATATCAGTTAATGAAATTACGGTATTTAACTGTAAATTTAAGTTAAAACCGTAAAACCTAAAACGTTGCTACCATATTTATTACGGTAAACCACAGCTGCCGGTTTTTTACCGTAAATTTTACTGATTTATTTTTTTACAGTGTATGTTCCTCACACAAATTATTAAATAACTTCAGATACTTGCAATGCAGTGCACAAGTCATAAGGACTACTTTTATGGTGCTTTTGTGTCCTATTCAGAGCTTGAAAGCATGTGGCCACTATGAACTTTGAATAATTTTTTTTTTCTAAATAAGGTGAATAAATTATGACAGAATGTGAAAGTTTGGATCATCCAATCCTTATAAATATTCTCCGTGTAACTGCTAATGCATTGCTGAAAGCTCATCTAATTGAATTGTCTGTAGTTTTCAGTAAACATTGACCCGGTGCTGGGAGAGGAGACGCCGTATGAAGTTTCTCTCTGGATCATCATTGTTTCAGCGGTTGCAGGGATTCTGTTATTAGGCATCATCAGTCTCATCCTGTGGAAGGTATTTGTGCTTTTATATTTGGTCAACATTCCATCAAGATCGAATAAAAATGTTCAGAATTTCAGCAAAAAATGTGTCGACAATCGACATTTTATAATATTTTTTTTATTTTTTAAGTCAAGTGTAATGTTGGGTTAAGCTTTGTTTTGTTTTTTTCACTGATGCCAGACTACAGCTTTTTTCCCTTAATAAATGAAATTATCATTTAAAAACTGCATTTTGTATTTACTTGCATTATCTTTGCATCATATTAAAATTCGTTTGATGATCTGAATCTTTTAAGTGTGACAAATATGCAAAAAATTAAAAAAACAGGAAGGGGGCAAAAATCTTTTCACGGCACTGTATATATATTGCTGATATCTGATATCTGCATCTATCAGATTCCAAACAAAAGAGAAAATAATGAAACAAGATGAAGTATTTAATTCACTGGATTAATCAAAAAGTAAGCATAAGCACATTATTTAATATAAAAAAAATATTTTGATATACACTACAATTTATGTGTGATTTTTTTAATGTTTTTGAAAAATTGTTTAAGTCTCTTCTGCTAACCAAAGCTGCATTTATTTGATCAAAGATACTGTAAAAACAGTAATATTGTCAAATATTATTACAGTTTTAAGTAACGGTTTTCAGTTTAAATATATATTTTAAAATGTAATTTATTCCTGTGATGCAAAGCTCAATTTTCAGTATCGTTACTCCAGTCTTCAGTGTTACATGATAATTCAGAAATCCTTCTAATATGCTGATTTGTTGCTCCAAAATATTTGATGAATACAATGTTCAAAAGAACAGCAGTTATTTCAAATAATGCCACATTTGATTCATTCAACGTGTCCTTGCTGAATAAACAAAATCAGTCTATCCCCAAACTTTTCAATAGTACCATTACATAAAACTATTCGTAGTGTGAAATTAGATTTTGGTCATACCTCCCACTTTTAGGCACTTTTCCTAAAACATTTATTTACAAACTATAACTTAACCTTAATAAATGCAAATGACAGGACAGATTTAAACCACATGCTTGCAGTCCATGAAATTTAGCTTTACCCAGTGCACCCTTGATGTGAAATATCACCGCCTCTTTTTATTATATCAGTAATTAATGTCCCGCCTTGGGCTCCGCCCCTCCTCCACAGTGTGGTTTCTTCCGACGGGCCAGCAGGAGGGAGATGTATGAGGCCAAATCCCAGAAAGCAGAAATAAAGATCCAGCCCTCTGAGACAGAGAGGCTGACGGAGGAATTCTGAGCCTGCGGGGGCCCTCGGGCCGCTATGGCAGCACCGTTAGGGCCCTTCGGTAAAGCAGACCCTTGAGATCTGTCTAGTTACCATACGCTTTTTCTGACTTTTCACTCTGTAATCCCTTCACTGCCAGAGTCAAATAACAATCTCTTCCTTTCTCATTCTGTCCGTCTTGCTCACTAACCCTAAATATCCCCAGATAAGCTCAACCGGGAATCTCGATGCACTTTTTTCCACTAATGAAATGTTTAAATTTTTTTGTGTGCTGTAATTTCAGCTAATCCTCCTAACTGAAGCATGAAGACTGGGTTTTTTTTCTCCCGTTCTTTAATCTCAGTGAATGGGTGCCGTCAGAATGAGAGTCCAAACAGCTGATAAAAACATCCCAGTAATCCAAAAGTAATCCACACCACTCCAGTGAAGTGAAAAGCTGTGTGCTTGTAAGAAACAAATCCATCAAAACATGTTTTACTTCAAACCGGCTAAAATATAAATCCTCTATCTAGAATATTGCTTTATATGCAGTGAAAAGGCCATTTCTCCGAATCAGGAGAGAAATATGCACAGATCAAGCACCGTTTAGAAGCCAAAACAAATTTGTTGGATTTTGATGTGAGAGGACAACAGGGGATGGACTTTATAAAAACGTTATTTGTTTCATTCTGACGGCACCCATTCACTGCAGAGAATCCATTGGTGAGCAAGTGATGTAATGCTACATTTCTCCAGATCTGTTCCCATGAAGAAACAAACTAAATTTTTGGGTGAGCTATTCCTTCCAAGAAATAATTCAGCCAAAAATTAACATTCTGTCATCACTTACTCACCCTCTTGTCATATTATTTATTTTCTTCTGTCAAACACAAAATGAGATGCACAATTTCCATGCTGCTGTTTTTCAAGAAAAGTGGATTTAGATTAGTACTGCAAACTCCGAAAATGACAAAAAAGCATCATAAAAGAATCATAAAAGTGCCATTTGGGTCATAAAATTTGATGGCAAACTTTTCTTGTCCGTCGCATGACCAATCATAACGCAACAAGTTTGAACAACGAACATGAGAAAATGTAGCCGCAAAATTGATCAAATGGCTTCAGAAGATTTGAAATATAGTGCACAAGTCATATGAACGACTTTTATGATGCTTTTGTGGAGCTTTTTGCGGCAGCATAAATCACTGTCCACTTTCATATGGAAAACATCTTGTTTCACAAAAAAAGAAAGAAGAAATAATATAGGGTTGTCTTGACGGTGAATAAATGATAACATTTAAAATCGTATTACTTTTTGACTTTTAAAGTTTCATTAAAAAGCATATCCGTCACTCTTACCTGAAACATTTCTTTGATTCTCTCATCTGTCTTGAGCAGTGTGGTTTCTTCAAAAGGGCCGTTTACTACAGGATAATGCCAAAGTACCACGGTGTGAAAGTACGCAAAGAGGAGCGCTATAAGTATAACTTGGCCTTTCAGCCCGAGCAAGAACTGAGCAAGAAACTCTGGGTCACCAACTGGACAGAAATGCATGAATATTACTACTGACCTCTTCACCTCTCTCCATCCAGAACCAGGGGAGCGTGATGATTGGAAGATGTCTTTTATTAACCCCGCCTCAACTCAACTCAACTCAACAGACACTGGACACTAGCGTTTGGAGCCGCCACTTATGCAATGAGAACGTTTTGAAATGTTTGTTGGTCTGTGTGCAATATCATGATTTGTAGACCATTAAACCGCTTTCAACAAAGCCAGAGTATTGTCAGCATTGTCTGGGACATCCTTGACTTAGTAATGAGCAACTGATATTTTTTTTACTAGTTTTATGAATATGTAAATATATTTCAGTTTCAAGTGTGTTTAATTGCATTTTAAATTTCATTCCATTAAAATAATTTTTTAATGTCACTATAATAGTTTACCTGCCAAAGCCTTGGGGCATTTTACTCATTGAGATATGGAGATCCATCATGCTATAAATGATCTGAGACCAGTTCTGATCAAACAGCGCTGAGGAAATAGACTTGATTTCCAAGTTTCAGTTGCATTTTCATTGAACGCTTATTTTTTTAACACTGTGTAAGAACTGCTCCATTTTTTTTTTCAGCTACTTCCTCCCATGGAGCCCGTTTCCGCCACTGAATAAAAAATAAAAGAGGTAATTGCGACTTTTTATCTCACAATTCTGACTTTTTTTCTCAGAATTGTGAGATATAAACTCGCAATTGCGAGTTAAAGTCCAATTTTGAGGGGGGGAGAAAGACTGATATGTTCTCAAAATTGCGAGTTTATATCTCACAATTCTGAGAAAAAAAGTCAGAATTGCGAGAAAAAAAGTCAGAATTGCGAGATATAAAATCGCAATTGCGAGAAAAAAAGTCAGAATTGCGAGTTTTTATCTCGCAATTCTGCGAGATAAAATTGCGAGTTTTTATCTCGCAATTCTGACTTTATAACTCGTAATTGTGAGTTTATATCTCACAATTCTGTGAAAAAAAGTCCGAATTGCGAGAAAAAAAGTCCGAATTGCGAGATATAAACTCGCAATTGCGAGAAAAAGTCAGAATTGCGAGTTTTTATCTCGCAATTCTGACTTTATAACTCGCAATTGTGAGTTTATATCACGCAATTCTGAGAAAAAAAGTCAGAATTCTGACTTTATATCTCGCAATTCTGACTTTATAACTCGCAATTGTGAGTTTATATCACGCAATTCTGAGAAAAAAAGTCAGAATTCTGACTTTATATCTCGCAATTCTGACTTTATAACTCGCAATTGCGAGTTTATATCTCACAATTCTGTGAAAAAAAGTCAGAATTGTGAGATAAAAAGTTGCAATTACCTTTTTTACATTTTTTATTCAGTGGCGGAAACGGGCTTCCATAAGGAAGACTACAGTATTTAAGTGTGTAAATTGTTTGCCCAAACCACCACGTTCCTGTCAGCATTAGTTGGGTGAATCTCTAGAAGATGGGTCAATCTCAAATGAAAAAAATATAGAAATAAAATATTCGAATAAAAACTTAATTTAGGATTTTTTTTCATTGTGAAGCAATTTTGATATTAATTGCTTCACAATTAAGCACAATGAAATTCTCATTACTGCAATGTGAAAAAAAAAAAAACATTCGTATTGTATGAGAAAAAAATTGCTGATGAAGCTGATGTGTAACTGGTCAATAAAATATATAGTCCTGCCCCAAACTTCACTTTTTCATTTTGAGCCAGTGGTGATTTTTCATTTGATTTTGTAGTGAAATATGACTGAGATTTGTTGTCGGTTTTTGCAAATCACTCTTTATTTCAGATTTTCAGTTTAATGTCTTTATGTTTGTTTTACTGTTAAAGCAGCACTATGTAACTTCTGGCGCTCTAGCGGTTAATAAACAGAACTGCACACATCCCGCGGAAGAACATTCCAACCGGAGCTACTTCTCTAAGTTTATGTCTATGGCGATTCACGCAGGTATGTGTTACTCCGCAGCGGCGACGACCCGACCAGGCTACAATAGTCCAAATATAAGTACTTATTATAAGTGTACCGTAGTGATTCGGAATAAGACAAAAACGCGGTTTGGAAGATGAATTCATGATGTACTCGCTCATTATATACATTTTGCAAATTTTGAACACAGAAAAAGTTACATAGTGCTGCTTTAAGAATATCTTCGTCTCTTCTCAAATAGTATTGTATTGAACCTTTTTTTTTTTTGCAGAACAACAGCTACTAGAAACTACTGTCTTGGTGCGATTTATCATACATGTGAAGAATGTTGATTTTATGCTTGAACAAATGTCATCATTTCTATTAAAGATGTACCTGTACTGCCAAGTCATAAGGATTGCTCAGTTTAGCTCATATCAGCCCACTTTCAATGATGAGAATACTGCAAATGTTCAGTGTTGAACTTGAACATGGTATAAGATTCTCAAATGGTGGATGTGGAATGAGTTTTATATTTAAGTGTAATTTAATATAGACAAATGGTGGATTTGAGTCAGAGAGAAGCCCACATTGTTGACTTGGTTAGTTATTAGAGGGTATAGAGTTGGATACTAAACCACTAGACTTCATTACACTCTGAGCAAATGAGTGTTTGTATACCTCAGACCTGGGTATATAGTTGAGAAAATATACTGTATGTCCACAAAGAAAAAAAAAAAACATGATGATCTGTAAGGATTTTTTTATATTGTACTGATATTAAAATGTTTTTTTTAACTGAAGGCTCATTTTTATGAAATGTCCCTGCACTCAGACAATAAGCAGAGATAGAACATCTGTATAATTCTTTATATTCTATAAAGGTTTACCAGTAAAATCAATCAGAAATGTTCACAGTTAAGACTATACAAATAATTGAAAACAGCAGTCAAACATTAAAAAAAAAAAATTTTTTACAAATAAATTACGTCACCTTTCATTGCATATTAAACAAATTTGACCAAAAATAATAAATATGCATTACATTCGTGGATTCTGTCAAAAAGTAATGACTGCATGGTAAGAATAGAATGTATTCCTATTTAAAGGATTTTACTTGAGCTCCATCTGAGATATTGATTTGTCCTGTAAGCGTTTAGTCTTCCTGTATCTGTAGACTAAATAGATGATGCCAAGCAGGAAGACGATGCTCAGAACCAAGAGAATCCACTGTCCCGCCACAGCGCCTCCCTCATCCACACTCAAACCCAGGAAACTGATTGCTTTTGGCTTCTCGTCCATCACTGAAGTGACTGAAACAAGCAGGTGAGAAGTGTGTGAGCATTTTATTAGTGCTAATTAACTGCTATGTTGTGGATTTCTGAAAATGACTGGTAATGACATTTTGTACTTTTTGAAGAAAAAAGTTGGATAACACTTGGAACTTGCTAAATTAGCTAGGAGTCGGGTATCAATGAATTAAGAAAAGTAAAAAGAAATGGATTGTTTCTAAATTTACATTTTCAAATACAAATCTCAAATGATTTTAAAATCTTAAAATTGATATTTCTGAGCTTCTGCGACTCCCTTTAATTTGTCATTTCCATCATAACAATCTAAACCTAATAAAAATAATATTATGTTTTATATACTGTATCTACACTCTAAAAAATGCTGGGTTAAATACAACCCAGTGCTGGGTAAAATAGGGACAAACCCAGCAATTGGGTTGTTTTGACCCAGCGGTTGGGTTACTACCCAGAAGGTTGGGTTAAACACTTTAACATTTAGAGTGTAATATTATATTACATTATATTATAGAATTATTGGTGTGACAGCAATATTGGGAACAGAGATTCTGTTATAAATAAACTGTTCATATACAGTACCAAGTTAATTGAAAAAATTGTTATAAAAAATATGATATATATAAATAAATTGAGAAATTCTGGCAAATTTCACCTTTCAGCACTCCAAAAAATTGCAATATTAAAATAGATTTAAAAGCAATAAAAATATGAAAAATATATTCCATCCTTGAAAATAGAACTGTTGTTGTTGTTGTTGTTGTTGTTGTTGTGAAAAATATATTCCATCCTTGAAAATAGAACTGTTGTTGTTGTTGTTGTTGTTGTTACTCTAAAAAATGCTGGGTTGTTTCAACCCAACTTTGGGTAAAATATGGACTAACCCAGCTATTGGGTTAAATTTTTAAATTCAATTTTTAACCCAAAAGTTGGGTTAGTCCATATTTGACCCAAAGTTGGGTTGAGACAACCCAGCATTTTTTAGAGTGCAGTTTCTCTATTTAAAGAATCACCCAAATCCAGTGGTTTAAAATAGTGCTTCACCCCAGTTTCCCAGCTGAAGCACTTTTGTTTTACAATGAAACAGGAAATTGAGTGGTAAACCAACATTTGAATGTCGATTTCTGAACTCCAAGCTTACTTTTGTAAGGCGTCCAATCGTACTCTGGCCATCCCAGGACATCACCATTCTTTTTGTTCTCCTCCACCAGCCACTCGATGAGCGGTTGGAAGTATTCCATCAGAGGCTGGACTGACATTTTGGGCTGGCCAGTAATCAAAGTCATGGCTTCGGGCCAGGGTTTACTGAAGCCCATCTTCATCACATCACTGAGGAGGAGGAAGTAGAGCTCTTTTACTCGCAGGCAAAAATGATGAGAATCTATCAAATCTTACCACTCTATTGCTCTTAGTGCTTGTAAAAACTGGAACCAGTCTGAGTTCTCAGTGATTTACTGACCCCAGGAGTTTCCCTGCTTCTTTGGACTGGTAGATGTCACAGTTGTGGAGTGGAGCTGGCTGACCGGCTGCTTCACACAGGGCTTTGTGGAACTGGAATTGGATTACAAAACTCACAAAGTACCTATTGGAGCCAGACCAAATAAACGGTCAATCCAAAGGCTTATTTGATTACACGAGTTGTGTAACATGATAGATGCAAGATATTTCCACATTAGTGATATATTGTTTTGTTGTGTACCTGACGTAGGGCACATTAGCTGGGATGTGGAACTTTGCACCAGGGTCGAAGTCTTCCTCAGTGCGCGGTACAGGTGGACACAATCCCTGGTACTTCATTCTGTTAAAGTAAAATACACAAATTCAGCTCTGGTACGAACTTTACATATTGCACAGCTTTAATATTAATATAACTGATTAGGAAACAACAATAACAACTAGGGGTGTAACAATACCGTGATATGGATCAATGCATCAATTAGATGACAATATGATGTATCGAAGCAACATGTAAAAAATTAATAGAGGCCTATACAATATTTTTTTAAGATGCACCTTTATTTTGACACTCACGTTAGCCACATCTGCATTGCCTCTGAGCTGTCATTAAATATT